GAACTGCTCCTGCCCAGGTCCGCAGCTGTGGGGCCCTCAGAAAAAGTAAGAACTGCTCCTGCCCAGGTCCGCAGCTGTGGGGCCCTCAGAAAAAGAAAGAACTGCTCCTGCCCAGGTCCGCAGCCGTGGGGCCCTCAGAAAAAGTAAGAACTGCTCCTGCCCAGGTCCGCAGCTGTGGGGCCCTCAAACAAAAAACTGCTCCTGCGCAGATCCCCAGCTATGCGGCCCTCAAACAAAAGAACTGCTCCTGCAGTGCCTATACTCTGGCAGGTATAGGAATGGGTTGAAGACATCCTATCCCCTCCCCAGATTCTCAAGCTAAATCTGCACTTTGTTCAGCTCACAATCTTTACATATTTATATATTAGTGTTTGGTATGTTATTTTGTGTGGAGGGGTATAAACAATATATTTAAACTAAACGTTTCCAGTTATCATGTGCCTACTGTTAAATACATCCATACTGTTTCAACTACTTTAATGCAGAGAGAAAAATGAGCTATTAAAACACAAGTGAGTGTCTGTGACCCTGCAGCACCTGTGGGTCCCCAGCCACCGCCCTCCCCCCCACCCATCCTCATGGCACTGCTCAGTGTCACTCCTTCTCAGCACCACGATCTCTCCCCAGAAACAAGCCCGGATCTGTAAGACAAGCTGCACTCAGCTGTCATAACACGCAGTCAATGTCAGGCAGAAGGGACACCATTTTACAACAGGCTGCGTAGACCGTGACAGGGAAGTACGGCCCATGGCAGTGCTCCCTCCTCAGCACTTGTAGCTGCTGACAGGAAGCATTTTCCTCCTTCCCTCACCTGGTGACTGTCGTGAACCACGGCCTCTCCTGGGTGGCAGGTGCTGAGGAGGAGGAGGCTCAGCCTTCCTCAGGGTTGAAGCCCCAGGGCATGAGTGAGGACTCTACTGTGGCTCCTGCACGCACTCCTGGTTCGGCAGCTCGGCGCCCCCTGGTGGAAGCCCTGGGGAATCTCAGAAAATCAGTGTTCAGATTCTCTCAGGCTGTGATTTTCGAAATTTCAACTGAAATCGAGTCCACCATCCCATGCCTTGACGGAACAGATGGAGGTTTTCGTTTTTGTTTTTAAACAGAGTCTTGCTCTGTTGCCCAGGCTGGAGTGCAGTGCCATGATCTCAGCTCACTGCAACCTCCACCTCCCAGGTTTAAGTGATCCTTCTGCCTCAGACCCCTAGTAACTGGGATTACAGGCACATGCAACCATTTCCTGCTAATTCTTGTATTTTTAGTAGAGATGGGGTTTCGCCATGTTGGCCAGGCTGGTCTCAAAACTCCTGATCTCAGGTGATCCACCCACCTCGGCCTCCCAAAGTGCTGGGATTACAGATGTGAACCACCATGCCTGGCCAGACAGAGATTTTAAAAACTAAAAAAGATGTCCAGTAGGAAAAAGTCAGTTGTGTTTCTTCACATCAGCAATAACGAATGGAAATAATTGGAACTGGAAATATTAAAATGCCATTTACAATAGTACCCCTAAAGTTTAATCCCTTAAGTATGAATGTAACAAAATGTATGCAAATATGCATTCAGAAAACCATGGATCACAGTTGAGAGAAACCAAAAGAAATATAAATAAGTGAAGAGATGTTCCTTAACCCCTAACCCTAACCCTTAAGCCCAATCCTAACCCTAACCCTACTCTGATTACCCTTATCTCTAACCCTAACCTTATGGTAACCCTCAGCCATAATTTCTAACTTTACTTTTACCCACCCTAATTCTAACCTTAATCTAAACCTACTCAAACCTTTACTGTAACCCTAATCCTAAACCTCACTGCCCTTTCACCCTAACTCTTCACTGTAATCCTGACCTCTCAATCTAACCCTGGTTACTCACCTGATCTCTCCCTCTAATGTCTTACTATGCAGCTCCCAACCACCAACCTGAATCTCCTACTTGAAGCCCTTATGCCATAATCTTCAATTGGTAAACTCTGAACCCTTCAACCCATCTCTTGATTTTATAATATCCTGACACACTAACTCTGTAAATACAAACTGCAGTCTATACACAATCTCATCCTGATATATCCTAGTCAGTGCTATGCCACTTCAAGGACTGATATATAACCTCAAAAATATAGACTTAATAATCTTCGACAAAATAATAGCATATTAAAACGAACAGCAATTTGAAAGGATCAAACACCATGAACACGATTTTTTATCCCAGTAAATCAACGGTGGTTCCACACACTAATACCATTCATGTAACACACAGTATTGTTAGAATGAATGGAAAACATCCCAAAATTTTCTCAGCTGTTGCTGAGAATCGGCTTTCAATAAAGTTGGAATTACAGCCGTATGCCACCATGCCCAGCTAAATTTGTATTTTTAGTAGAGACAGGTTTTCACCATGTTGGCCAGGCTAGTCTCCAGTTCCTGACCTCAGGTGATCTGTCTGCCTCAGCCTCTAAAAGTGCTGGGATTATTGGTGTGAGCCACTGTCCCTGGCCAAAAAAATCCATTTTATACATATACACTAGCAATGAATAATCTGAAAACAAAATTATAAAAACTTCACTTTAAATAATACCAATGGCAATAATATGCTTAGGAATAAATGTAATCAAAGGGTAAGATTTAAAAGACGGAAATTATAAGGCATTGCTTAAGGAAATTAAACAAAGCCCAAATAAATGTAAAAACATGTCACATTCATGGATTTGAAGACCATTATTCGTTAAGTTTGCCAAACTACACAAAGCAATCTACAGATTCGATGTTATTCCTACGAAAATCCCAAAGGCCCTGGGACAGAAATGGGAAAGCTGATCCTAATGTTTACATGGAATTTCAAGGAATCCTGAAAAGCCAAACCAATCCTGAAAATAACTCCAAATCTGGAGGTTAGCAAGGCGTGGTGGTGGGCACCAGCTACTTGGGAGGCTGAGGCAAAAGAATTGCCTGAACACAGGAGGCGGAGTTTGCAGTGAGCCGAGATCACGCCATTGCACTCCAGACTGAATGACAGAGCGAGACACTGTCTTAAAAACAAACAAACAAACACTGAAAATACACAGATAGCAAATAATTACACAAAAGGATGTTCAACATCATGTCTCATTAGCAGACTGCAAATTAAAATAATACTGAGATACAACTGCACACCTAGAACTGTAAGACTCTAAGAAAAGCTCAACAACAACAATTGGAGGTTGAAGAACAGGTACTGTCATTCACTGTTAGCAGAACGCAACAATTGTACAGCCACTTTGGGAGACAGTTTGGCAGTTTTTCCCAAATATAAACAAGGCTTACCTATAATCCAACAAATGCGCCCCTGAAACGTGTATGTTCAGACAGATGCTTTGAAAAATTATTTTCAAACAAAAACTAGCATAATCAACTTGACATACAACAAAATACCATTCAGCAACAAAAAGGAATGAACTTTCAGCCCATGAAAATAAATGAATGAATCTTGCATGTATGTTGCTAAGTGAAGGGTGGCAGCATGAAGATGCTATACATTATATGACTCCATTCATGAGACATTCTGGAAAAGGCACAACTACAGAGATGATAATCAGATGAGTGACTGGGGTGGGGATTTGAAGTATTCTGGTACTTTAGTGGTGGATATCCAACACTATGTATATATTTAAACCCACAGAATTTTAAAGCACAAAGAACAAATCACAATCTATACAAATTAAATTATTTAGGTCATGGAAGGATCTAAGGACAAAATACAGAGTGCAACTAAGAATCTAATTGTATTACCAATGTATGTTGCAAATGGTGGGCCAAAGGTACTGACCTAAGTCATTTTGGAAATGAGTAGAATTCATAGACTAAAAGCAAAATGTACTATACACAAACAGTGGACTCTATTTTATAAAGCTATTTCCCATAGGGATAATAGTGAATTTTGAAACCACTATATCTGTAAAAAGAAAAATAACCATGATTTTCCCCTGTACTCTCAACATGTCACTTCTGACAGCAAATTGGGGTGGGTGATGTTTCCCAAACCAACCAATTTTCCAACACTCTGGACAATTGGGTGTCCTATAATTCAATTATGACATTAATTACTGAAGTTTGTACAGACCCTATAGGTTAAGGGCTTAGTAACACCAGACTGTTCCCATCCTCAGATGCCACTCAAAAGTAGTGAATCCCCAGTTTACCCAAACTTCTATGACTTGGCTAGAAACTGTGCACTCCTATACCCCCTCCTCAGGTTTGATAATTTGCTATAATGGCTTATGGAACTCAAGGAAACACTTATGTTTACTAGTTAGTATAGTCTCAATGTGTGTATACCCTCCAAATTCCTATGTTGAAACATAATCCCCAAAGGGATGGTATTCAGAGGTAACTGAGGGGTAATTGGATCATGAGGGTGCTGCCCTCATGAATGAAACCAGCACCCTTATAAAATAATCTAGGAACCTTTTCCCCCAATCCTGCCATGTCAGGACATGGCTAGAAGGAACTATCTATGAAAGATGAGCCCTCACTAGACATCAAATCTGTCAGAGTTGATCTGGGACTTTCCAGATTCCATACTTTAGGAATTTTTATGAAAGCTTCATCATGTAGACACGATCAACTATTAACTCAATCTCTGGTCCCTTCACACCCTCAAAGGATTGCGTGTGAAGCTAAAAGTTACAAGCTTCTTATCATGGCTTGGTCTTTCTGAACATCCCCCATCCTGAAACCATCCAGGAAACCAAAGACGGTCCTTACAGAAGACATTCCTATTACTCAGAAGATTCCAAGGAATTTAGGAACTCCACATCAGGAACCAGGGCTAAAGAGCAAATGTTAGAACACGAGATGTTCCTAGCGCCCCTATTGTTCAGGAAATTATAAAAGTTTTAGGAGCTCTGTACTATGAACTGAAGACAGAGACCAAATATATTTCTCATTAAATCCCAACCTGAAATCTGGATCAGGAATGAATTCCTTGTTCCCAATGGAACAAGGGATGAAATAAATGGCAGATAGTGACAGCCAGGTTCCTCACTGTTAGAGTGAGAAGTTACAGATAAGAAATGTGGGAAGCCTGGAATGATCTCTGTGATAATGGATCAGAATACATATATAAAACATAGATATAAACTCACATTTAACTTTATATACACAGATGGTTCCATGCAGAAACCTGTATAATTAAGTAGCTACATATAAGTTAGAATACACACATATATTTGTTTGCACTGTCAGCTGTGAGGGTCATTATGCAATAACCACATTTACTGGCCAGATGTAAGTTTTTAATACCATTCTCTAGCAGAGGAAATCAGGGGTCTTTGAAAAAATGGTTGAAACTAGGACTGGGACACAAAATATATGAGCCAAGGTACTTCTGAAGTAACAGAAAGAAATTGTAAATAAATAAATAAATAACATGAAATTATGTCAAAGGAGCCAGTGGAAAGAGCTCCCAATGGCCACAGGGTATAAACAAAGAGCAACAAAATACTGCAGAACTGGGTAACAACCAAAACATTAAAGTAACTGAGTGTCCATGCTGGTATCTATTTATGATTAAATTGATACATAAATGGCCTGAATAGAAATCTCTTACACAGAAGAATTCCAAATACCTGATATAGACACTCAGCCATCAAGGAGGTGGGGCTAACTCACCACTCCTCAAGTGTGGGCTCTGCATGGTGACTTCCGCCAAAAGCATACATAAAAGTTCTGCTTTGATGTCTGAATAAAATGTTTCTTTTTTCAATGCCAGGAATATTTGACCCTAACCCTAACTTGTGTACAGAGTCTACTGCAGAGCTCAATTGTATGTCACAGCCACAATAACATGGGGCTGAGAAATGCAGTCCATGTGTCCAGGAGAAAAAAAGGGTGAATTTTATAGAAAACATAGCCAGTCTCTTGACACACAGGACTTCTCTCCTATGTGAATTCCCTAGTACCTGCTGAGGTATTTAGACAAAAGGTTTTTGCACATTCATTACACTCTTACACTTTCTCTCGTGTATGAATTTATTGATGCCTCCTAAGGTTTGGCTTCTGCTAAAAGGTGTTTGCAACATTCACTACAGCCATAGGGCTTTCCCTGTGTGACTTCTCTGATGGACAGTAAGGCTTGACTTGTGCCTGAAGTATTTCTCACACTGGTTACATGAGCGGGGTTTATTTTCCATATGTATCCACTGATATGCTGTAGGATATGATTTGCTAATAAGGCTTTTCACACCTTTAGCATGTTAATAGGTCTTTTCACCTGTGTGAGTTCTATGATGTACAGCAAGAGCTGACTTCTGGTAGAAAGCTCTCCTACATTCTTTACATTCACATGGATCCTCCCCTGTGTAACTGTTCTCTGACGTCTATTGAGGGTTGACTTTTGACAAAAGCTTTTCCCACATTCTTTACATTCATATGGTTTCTCCCCTGTGTGAGTTCTCTGACGTCTATTGAGGGTTGACTTTTGACAAAAGCTTTTCCCACATTCTTTACATTCATATGGTTTCTCCCGTGTGAATTCTTTCATGTATAGTAACGGATGACTTCTGGCAGAATGACTTCCCACATTCATGGGATTTCTTCCCTGTGTGAATTCATGTACACTGAGGGCTGATTTCTGGAAAAAGGTTTCCCTACATCCATTACATTTATAAGGTTTTTCACCTGTGTGTATTTTCTGATGCCTGCTGTAGTTTGCCCTCTGACAAAAGGTTTTTCCACGTTCATTACACTCATAGGGTTTTTCCCGTGTGAGTTCTCTGATGCGTAGTGAGCACTGACTTCTGGTAGAAGGTTTTCCCACATTCATTACACTCATAGGGATTTTCCCGTGTGAGTACCCTGATGCATCCTGAGGTTTGACTTCTGGCTAAAGGTTTCTGCACATTTATTACATTCATATGGTTTCTCACCTGTGTGAGTTCTCTGATGTATACTAAGAACTGAATTCAGGCAAAATGTTTTTCCACATTCATTACATTGATAGGGTTTTTCCCCTGTGTGAGTTCTCTGATGTACAGTAAGTTTTGACTTCTGAGGAAAAGTTTTCCTACATTCTTTACATTCACATGGTTTCTCAACTGTGTGAGTTCTCTGATGTACAGTGAGGGCTGACTTATGGTAGAAACTTTTCCTACATTCTTTACATTCATATGGTTTTTCACCTGTGTGAATTCTCTGATGTACAGTCAGGACTGACTTCTGATAAAAGGTTTCCCCACATTCATTACATTCATAAAGTTTCTCTCCTGTGTGAATTCTCTAATGTACATTAAGGGCTGACCTCTGGTAGAAGGTTTTCCCACAATCGATACATTCATACGGTTTCTCTCCTGTGTGTATTCTGTGATGATAAATAATGGCTGACATTTGGCAGGTTTCTCCACATTCATGACATTCATAGGGTTTTTCCCCTGTGTGGATTCTCTGTTGAACAATTAGGTTTGACTTCTGACAGAAGGATTTCTCACATTTGGTACATGCAAAGGGTTTCTTTCACATATGTGTTCTCTGATGATTTGCAAGGTATGATTTCTTAATGAATGATTTCTCACATTGTATACATTTACAGGGTTTCTCTCCTGTGTGTATTTTCTGATGTTTGGTAAGCTTAGACTTTTTGTGAAACATTTTCCCACATACATTACATTCAGCAGTTATCTTCTGAGAAGTGAGTGCTGACTTATCACAGGATTTCTCATATTCATTATATGTACATGCCATCTCTCCCACAGGACTCTTCTCTGCCTCAGTGCTGAAGGCTTTTCCTTGTCCACCATATTCAAAAAGCTGCTGCCTCATATGAATCTTGTTATGGTGACTAAGATACTCACCATGTGTGAGAGATTTCCCAGTTATACTTCGATCATGAGGTTTTCCTTCTGCCTGCATTTCATGAGGCTCAACAGAGAGAGATATTTTCTGACTTATATTTAACTCCTCAGGCCTCATTCCTGAATAGCTTGCATTATTTACCATCACACTTGGAATATGGTTTGAGCTCAAATTAAGTGTGATTCCTAATTCAACCGTTTCTTCAGTTGATGTTTTGTTGTTGGTGATTGCCACTTGCCACATATGTCTATGATGAATTTCCTGGCTTCTTTCAATTATGTCAACCATCTGGACATCTGAAATGAAAAACGGGGAAAAAAAAACAAAACATGAACACATATAAGCATTTTTTGTGAAATGCTTATGTAAAGACAATGAAGTTACTTTCTCTCCTAGTGGTGTGAGATTCTTAAAAAATAAATTATCAGTACTGGCTTTATAAGCACATGGTTGTTCCTAACTTAATATGAGAAATTGCATTAATAGATTTTCTAATGTAAAATCATGTTTTTTAACTTTGTTTCAATTCATTAAAAAAACAATTGGTAAAAAATATTCACCTACACCTAGCTGTAATTTTCACCTAAGTGCTTATCAACTGCCAACTGTTCTCTGTTGTTTTTCTCCATTTTATTGTTGTAACTATGGGAGGTAGCTTGCGTGCGATTTTTCTTTCTCCTTTGAAGATGATAAGGTATTCCTGGATCAGCTACCTGCAGGTACACAAGATGGCCACTTGTCCTCAGGACCAGATTTTACATCAGTATTTCCTTAGTTTTCATGCTTCCCTGGGAATGTCTATATGTATCTGGGCATTTTTCTTTTTTTCCTTTTTTATTGAGACAGAGTCTCACTCTGTCACCCAGGTTGGAGTGCAGTGGTGCAATCTTGGCTTACTGCAACCCCCACCTCCCACATTCCAGCGAATCACCTGCCTCAGCCTCCTGAGTAGCTGGGATTACAGGCATCTGCCACCACATCCAGCTAATTTTTTGTATTTTTAGTAGAGAAGGGGTTTCACTGTGTTGGTCAGGCTGGTCTCAAACTCCTGACCTCGTGATCCACTTGCCTCAGCCTCCCAAAGTGCTGGGATTACAGGCATGAGCCACTGCACCCAGTCAGCATCTGGGCATTTTTCAAATGCAAAATCTCTCCTCCAAACTAGATGAAGACTGCTTCTTGCAAATTTCGAGTTTCACCTGACTTCTTTTCCTTCTCAGAATTATAATAGGTATCTGAAGCTCCACTCCATCACTGTGGGCATCCCCTCCCTGCTGGTCCTAAGGATTCAGTTCTGCAACTCAGGCAGTGTCCACTATCTTTGAAAGGTCATTTATTAGGTCCTTCTGAGAGGAACAATCCTGATCTTCTCCCCTAAAATTCCTGGCACATCCATCCCTGCTTCATAATTCAATGCTTCTGAAGGCTTTTATTTTGTGGTTCAAGTTTCAGCTGTTTCCTAGTTTCAGAGAAAAACAGACTCTCTTGTACACTTCTCATTGTCTACTGCCAAAAAGAGACCTGAGCCCTTCAACATGAAACCTTTGCTTCAATAGACCTTGGAACCGAGAATCTCCTGGTTCTCTTCTGAAGTCCAGGCCTATTCTTTTCCATGCTCCTATACTGGGTCCTCCTCACTGTAAGGATTTTTGATGTCATTATACAAAAGGCTCACTCCTAGATTCCTCTTATTTTGGTTCAACTCCCTAGTTGACCTCCTCTATAATCATGATTCTAAAAACCAGCTCTGACTTACAAATTTTTAAGTTTGTATCTCCAATTGTAATGTCCACTCTTGCATCTAAATTTATATTCACCTACTGTGTGCCACAAGACAGCTAACTTGAACTGGAGGTACGCTAAAGTTAACAATGCCTCTGATACTGCATTGTCTTACCGTCCTTCCTAAATTATATACCTTTTTTTCATGCTGTTTAAATATTCTGCATGGTTCTTTTATGACTAAACATATATTATTTTGTTTCTCTCATCAAAATGTACACTTTATGAAAAAATTTTGATCATTGCTATTACAAATGTAAATATAAAATTACCAAGGCTTACTAGCTACTCAGTTAAGATATGTTGAAAGAATAAATGGACGTATGAATAAATGTCTGGGGAAAAAAACAGTCCATGAACATGGAGGAAAAGAAGACAACTAAGAAAATTGAGAAAATTAATAGTAAAGAAAAATATCTAAGAAGAGCAAGGTAAGGATTAGGTTTTAAGTAAATATTTTAAAGTATTCAGCAAAATAAAATTCAAGAATATATACATGACAGCCCTACTTGGAGATGATATAATTCACAGAACTGATGCATAAAAAACAGTTGTCCTCAGGTATAGGACTTGGGAGATAAATTGGTGAAAACAAGTCAACACCGGCCTTGGCTTTTCCTGGCTTCCCTGCCCAGTATGCATTGACTAACCTGAGAGGCCCTGGTTTGCCCATTCTTCTCCTAACCATGGCTCTGCTCCTTGCTCCAACTTGAAGATCACCTCAGGTTTGGTAACACAATGGCCTGGTAATGGGAAATAATGGAGGACTTAGCCAAACTGCAAAGTAAGGTCCTTTTCAGAATGACAACAGCTCCGTTTCAGAAGCTATATAATGAAGGAGACAATATGAATCTTTAGTTAGAGAGGGTTGACACATTCTTCACATGGAATCTTACACTTAAATAGCATTAAACCTTATAAATGCTTCCTATATTTAGGAATACAGGAAGTGTTGCTTCTGGAGGTTACTGGGAAGTTTCACTCACCCAATGATACCAGGATGCTGTAGGTCTCCAGCAACACTTCCCTGTACAGGGTCCTCTGTGCATCATCCAGGTCCTGCCACTCCTCCCAGGTGAAATGCACAGCTACCTCCTCAAAGGACACCAACCCCTGTAACAGCACATTTCTCCTCAAGTCATCAGCCCAGGTCCACAAGAATAGGAATGTCAGAGTTCATTCTTCTGTAGATGCATGTCTCTTATGTGTATCTTACATACACTGTAGCTCCTCTGTACTCTATATGGAGAAAGAACAAGCACAGTAGAAATAGCTTGCCACTACAATAATGTTTTGTTAATAAGATTACAAAGTTTGCCTTCAGATCTAGAATCATCCTTACTGTGAAAGATAAAAGTAGGAATAAAATTCTGCTGTAATCTGGTATGACGACAAAAATTACAAATGCATACCTGGAACAATACGGGAGATGAATTAGCAGAGACACAGTTCAACGTCAACTACAGTAAGAAAGGAGAAAATAAAGTTTCATATTGTATTGTAAGGTTGAACTTCATTGAAAAACCAAAGATGTTTAGAACATCGACATGAACCGTGTGTTCTCATGACTATGAGGCAACACCAAAGCCGACTCATAATGACATGAAGAACACATACCACATTAATGGAACTACACATAGAACCATGTCTAGGTGAAGGATGCTGGGCTGTGATGACAGAGAACACAACACTGAAGGAACTGATTAGGGAGTGATTCTGCATTTAAACATCTGACCTAGCTCCAGAATTTATTTTTAAATTATTTGTAAATTAAAATAATGTACACAAGCATCTGAACATTTCCTTCCTACATGCCAAATGACTGCTTGTGTCCACCCTAGGGTGAATACTCCTATTTTCCTAACCACCAGGTGTAAATAATGTGCAAATTTGTGTAATATTTACACTCATTTGTGAGTGTAATGTATGTAAATACCTGTAAGAACAAGAATGTCACATGACCAAATACGCATTTTAACAGTCACCGAGAGGGAGAATGGGTAAGGACTTCAGGAAGAGCCAGAGGAGAAGAAAACAGAGTGATAGATGGCCACATTCACCCTATCACAGAGCAGTAAGAATACAGAACAGGGGGCCAGGCGCAGTGGCTCACGCCTGTAATCCCAGCACTCTGGGAGACTGAGGCGGGTGGATCACGAGGTTAAGAGATCGAGACCATCCTGGTCAACATGGTGAAACTCCATCTCTACTAAAAATAGAAAAGTTAGCTGGGCATGTTGGTGCACGCCTGTAGTCCCAGCTACTCGGGAGGCTGAGGCTGGAGAACTGCTTGAACCCAGAAGGCTGACGTTGCAGTGAGCCGAGATCGTGCCACTGCACTCCAGCCTGGGTTAACAAGAGCAAAACTCCATCTCAAAAAAAAAAAGAATACAGAACAGGGAAGTAGTATTTAAAACGGAAAAGGAAAAACGAAAAAGAATTTGGCACTAATTTGCTGTGCAGAGAGTGGGGAGTTTTACTTCCAGATGATGCATTATCACGTCGAGTGAGGTGCTGGCACTACAAAGTAAAATTTAGAAAATTAAAAATACGATGACATAGACTTAGACACATCATACTGGAAACATTTGAGGCATCATACATGGTGATGTCCAACTAGTAAGTGAATATACAATTCCAGAGTTCAGAAAAGATATCTAAGCCGAAGAGAAATATTTGGAAAGTATCAGAATTTGTATGGTACTCATACCCATCATCATTTAAGAGACTGAAAGAAAAAAGGAAATGCAGAATCTACAGAAACACTGACCAGGAGAAACTTTCTAAGTTTATTCTACAAACAAAGCTCAATATTAATAAGTATACTAATATAGTTAATCATATTCATAGTTCTATAAAATCCTTCAATTTTGCACAGACATATACAAGGTACTTTCAGAAACACATTCCAGGTTTCTATTTCTGCATGTAAGAAGCTTGAAAGTCATCATTCCACTGGGGAAAGAAACTCCTCTTTCCTGTCTCTTGTCTCAAAGGAGGAAGTAAAAGTTGAGACACAGCACGCATGAAGTTAGTGGCCTGGAGGTTAAAGATTAAACCCCCTACCCCCCCAACCTTAAGCTCTCAGGCGATCTTAAGGGTGGGGGAAATATGGAGAAACACCCTCTATTGTTCCCACTCAATCTTGCTCAAACCCCTATGCTTACTTCATCGATCATGACCCCCTCGTATGTACTTTCTAAAACTGTAAACCCAAGACCCTTTCACATATAATATCTACAGTTGTAAGCCTATATAACAACAGAGTTTTCCTTTGGTGGACGAGCTTGGCTGTTATGCAACTATGCTACCCTGCTTCTGGCTGAAAAAAATCACCCCTTCCTTCCCACTTCGGTGTTCGAGAGGTCTATTTGTTGCAACCACTCCTGCTTCATTTGGTTCCCTGACCCAGAAGTGAGTTTCGGTTGACAGACAGCTGGCACAGCCTTTCAAGTGGTTTGCCTAGCCCTTGGGAGCATCCCTGTGAGGTGTTCCCGCCCACTCAGGCAGTGCAATTCCTGAGAGCACTCCTGGGCAGGTATTGGCCTGGTGGAAAGCCTCACCAGGGCAGTGCAGGAAAGCCCCTGCAGTGTGGATCCACCCAGTCACTGAACACCGAGAAGAAATGGGTACTTGGAAGGTCCAGACAACAGAAACACGGTAGGATAGATGCTGGGAAACCTGCCCACCGGCTCTGGGTAGAAGCGTGGCCTGAACACCCACGGCGTGCCAGTCTCGGCACTCAGGATTTGATTTCGTTTCTCTGTAACTGGTTTCAGTACCTGAACTTGTTTCGGTCTCTAGGTGGGTACTAGCAATCTTGCCTCTGTTCTTGACTTGGTTGTTTCGAGGTGTGTAATTGTGAGTGAGTGTGGCAGGGCCCAATTGGAGAGAGAATGTGTGCTGCACCGTAACAGGCAGAAGACTGGGGGTAAAGTGCTGAGCCCCAAGCTGCAGTAACGGGCAAAGCCAGTGAGCAACCCCTTTACCTTCTGTGAGTGCTGCTCTTATCCTAACAGAGGGAGATGGGTAAGATGTGGAGTGAACCCACTCCATTAGGGGCCATGTTAAAAAAAAATTTTTCGGCCGGGCGCGGTGGCTCACGCTTGTAATCCCAGCACTTTGGGAGGCCGAGACGGGTGGATCATGAGGTCAAGAGATCGAGACCATCCTGGTCAACATGGTGAAACCCCGTCTCTACTAAAAATACAAAAATTAGCTGGGCATGGTGGCGCACGCCTGTAGTCCCAGCTACTCGGGAGGCTGAGGCAGGAGAATTGCTTGAACCCAGGAGGCAGAGGTTGCGGTGAGCCGAGATCACGCCATTGCACTCCAGCCTGGGTAACAAGAGCGAAACTCTGTCTCAAAAAAAAAAAACAAAAAAAACAAAAAAAATTTTTCAAGAAAGGATGTAGTGGAGATTATGGCAACACCATGACACCAGGGAAACTTAGAACTTGGTGTAACATAGACTGGCCAGCGTTTGAAGTAGATTGGCCTTCAGAGAGAATAATTAACTATTATGGTACAGCTACTTAGGCACAAGATGAGATGTGGGGATACCATACTCCCATCTATATAATTAATCGTATCTGATTACAAGCAGGATTAGAAATTATGACTAATGAAAGCTCTAGAGCTTTAGATTTGTTAGCTGTACAGTCTACACAAACAAGAAATGCAGTCTATCAAAAACAGACTAGCATTAGATTATCTGCTGGCCCCAGAAGGAGGAGTCTGTGGTAAATTTAACTTAACTGTTGTTTAAAAATTAATGATAACAGATAGGCAACTAGATGAAACAGTTATACCCATGTTCCAGTCCAAACTCGGAAAAGGTTGAACTCCAGACTTTTTTGGTGGATGGTTTTCATCTTTTGGTGGGTTCAAGACTCTCACAGGGAGCACAGTACTTATATCAGGCGGGTGTCTAACACCCCCTTGCTTATGGCCACTCCTGTCTGGGAGTATACAGTCCACCACAGAGGCAGTGGTGACAGAACACATCACCTCCCTGATAATGGCACTAACAGGTAACAGCCATTACCCACAGAAGAAAGCTCATCTCATGAAAAGGCAGAAGGCTATAAAATGGACATAGGTCTTTTATAGGCTATTTTCCTTTCCCATGTCCCCCTTTCCTCACCTTGTATGTGGCTCACACACACAGATGTACGAGGATAAAGTACAGAGGCAAAGCCTTAAACATCACTTGTAAAGTAACTCACTAGGGCGTGATCTAACTCCTACCTGGGCACATGCAAATGGCGCAAGAAGGAGCTCTGAGTTTAACTCCTAACTGGCTTACTTGTGCTTCTCTCCAAGAGAATGCCGACATTGTGCCCCTAAGTGGATGGCTGGTTGGGCAATGACGGGTAAGACTCCCTGAAAGATGAGAGCTATCTAAGACAGGCACAGCTGCCGGGAGGCCCACAGAGGCAAAGGTCAAGCCAAGAGCCAGTCTACTCTCAGCAAGCAGTGCTAGGAACAAATAACCAGCAAAGAAACTTCCCAGGCAGGCAAGCAAGATGCCTGTGACGAGACTTAGACTCTGTCCTATTGCTCTAGCACTCGTACATTAAAAAGAAGGTAAAAGCTTTCTGATAATAGTTTTCATTTTAAGAAAGCCTTTAAAGGGGGGAAATGTGGAAGGAAAATAAAATAAATAAAATAAATGGAAAAAAGTGAAGTTTAAATAATAAGCATAACACAGGTAGTGGTTAAACTTTAAACAGAGGCCATTTAGGCTAAGGAATTTAAGTACCCTCTCCCGAATGAAGCTACAAGTTTATCTTGCATTCCAGGCTAGTTTCTGAGCTGTCTAAGGATTTGTAAAACCTCCTTCTCTAATATTAGCCACTGTAGTGATTCCAACTCTACTCTTAATGTAACTCTTTTTAAAAATCCAATTTAAATACAACCGTAACTTCTGAAGGGAGAAAGTTACTAAAAGCTGATAAACTAGTAAGGAGCGATTAAAAGGCAACACTACTAGTACAAGCCTCATTTACCCCTAATTTTGCAAATTTAGATAATAAATTTCAATCCACTATTTAAAAAAGGACCACGAATTAGTTTTTAAAAAAAAAAGCAATTAAAAGCTAAGCATGTAAAACCACACCCTTTAAAGGAGAACTTTAACCCAAATTAAATATCAGTTAAGTTACAAGGTAAAAATGTTAAGCCCATTCTCAGAAAGTAAAATTTTGTATGTAAGTGTAGTAAAACCATAGGCATTAAAAACTAATTTAGGATAGTCTTTACTCTGCTAGTAAGTCATTGTTTTCAGAAGTTTGCCAGTTTAAAGTCCATAAACTTGGTCAGCCTAAAAACTCAATTGTGAGATTTAAGCTATCCTACCTGTGGCTTTAAGGCCTTGTTTAAAGTATATTATTTAAGTCTCTGCTTTCAGAGATATTTTCATATTTCCTTTTAAACTTCAAGTTACCAATTTCAACTT